TACATCCAACTTTCTTAGGGACTCCACTCTGAATTTGTGTAGGGTTTACTCCTTAGCCTTTTCTTCTTCCCAAAATGTCCCAAGAGGTATCAGGTACAGATTTTTCCTCAGGGTTTATTCATGAAGTCTTTATCATGTCAAGCCTTATTAACAGTTGGAGCACTTTTGGTCTCATTGGCTCAATCCACCAGAGCCTGTCTTTGCATGTAGGGGAAAGTCCTTGTCTCACCAAGGGATTGAGACCCATCAGCTACCCTCACCTGGCTTAGCCAGTCAGTTGAAACTGTTTCCTGGGGACAGCCTCTAGGAACCACAAGTGACAGCTAAGTGCTGGGTGGAACCAAAGGTGGACAAACTACCCAGAAGGAGTATGACATGTCCCCCCACCAGAGGTATGACCCCTCCCCTAACACCCCATAAACCCCAGTGGATTTAATCAATAATAACAATAAGTGAGAGAGTTGAGATGTGAAAACAGCACACCCTGCTGGTTACATCTCAGAGACCTATCATACTATTTTAAAATGTAGTACAGTACCATGGTTGACTTGCTTTAATATTTTAGAGTTAATGGGTAAGAGTCGACTCACATTTCTCCATCTCTAGTGACAGGAAAATAACTTACAATTGCTTCATTTAAAAAATACTCTGAAAACAGGAAGTGGGGAATGGAGAGAGAGAGAGAGAGAGAGGCACCAGTGCATGAATCAGAAACACAATTTATAGCAAAGAAAAATGATGCTATTGCAAAAAATGCAAAAAAATATAAAAAAACACTCACTCCTAATGACTAGTACAGGATAAGTGCTATTCAGAGAATAACTACAGCCTTTCTCACAGCATTAGAGCAGCCCCACACTCATCGACCAAAACCCACATTCTAGTCTAAGTGCTTAAATCATTAAAACCCCATTGTCCCACAAAGCTAAACATGAGATGCTGATTTTAAATAAGGTGACAGCTCATCTGTTTGACAACACTTTATAATATATACCAGGTAACTGTGACGATGAACTCTTTCAGTCATGCTATGCATATGATAACCACAGAACATTAACAGCACTAGAGTTCCTATCTGGAAAGCACTTCAGCTATAATCCATTACCACCATCCAACACCTATTGACAAAATAATCAAAACCTTTGAGCTAAAATTTACTACCCTGAACTCTTCAAAGAGGTGCACTGGGTTACTTCTAAGCAGTGCTTTCTTTAAAAAAAAATGTTTAGGGGTACTCTCATTTTCCTACTCATATTGAAATATTGCCTCTCTACGAGGCCAAACCTAGATTCACAAAACGATTAGGTGTATTTGTCCCGCCGCGTCCCCCCCCCCAGAAAAAAGCACTGCTTCTAAGTACAGTTTAGTTCAATGGGATTAATTTCGGAGATTTAAAAAACCCACCTGCACATAACAAGCAGGAAAGGGTCAGAATGCAATTTCTATCCCTGTTTGCAGTCATCTACCAATATTATTTTAACTTTGCTCTCTCCTGAAAATTACATTTATCAGCCAGGACTTCATAATTAGATGTTTGTTTATTTATTTTAGTTTTAGATAATTCCGTGTTTGAAGGCTTAGGGAGTGTAACTTTTAGAATCGCCCCACTAAATGCACCTCTTGCTCAATTTCACCAACAAAACCTTTGCCTGAATATAGGTTACTTTCAGAGTCACAGGCTTAAGCTTTTCAGATTTCTGAGAGAAGAGAATTAAGGCTCTGGAGCATCTGTCAAAGACCAGCACTATATGTGCCCTTGCTCTTCAGATATTGCCTGCCCTTACTGAGGAACCTTTGCTAAGCTTCCAAATAACACTGGGTTCCTGCAAACTGAAAGCTAGTGTCATGTAAGGCCTGTAGAGTAGGGGTGAGCCCATTTATTTCAATGTGAATCCTGCTGTACAATACACAGGTACTGCATACATGCCTGTTGCTGTAGCAAAATGTCCAGCAGCCCCGTATCAGCACAGGTATCATGTAATGATACTTCTGCAGAAACAAGGCTCAATGGTCTTTGAAACTAGAGTATTCACTGACTTGAATCCATTGGCCTTTCCTTTTTGGCAAAGCGCATCAAAATACATTTTTTGGGAGATGAAGCAACTGTAATAAATCACTGTCTTGTCCACAAATTCCATGCACAACCTTTGAGGTACCCACAGTGAGAAAATATAATGTAGTTCTTTGCACCCACCCTGTCTTTCAAGTGAAGCAAGTACATGTATGTGATGTCAGGCTATCAGATATAAAATACCTGTTGAATGTGAAGTTAAACTGGTGGTCCAAAGTTGACATTTGGAATCAAATATTATAGTTGTCCAGAACAAATTTCCATTCTATAGCACATGTATCAAACTGAATGACATCCTGTCTCAACCAAATTCATATTGATAGTGGAATACTGACAGCCAACCATGCAGATACTTTATTGTGTCAGAATTTATTCAGCCCTGTTACCATGCACTCCAGCTCCCTGTCTCTGTACACATGACAGAATGCAAAGTCAATAACATTTCCTGCATAAGAAATAGCCTGCTACATCCCATCAAGTGTTGTCCATTTTAGAACAAGAAAGGTTAAACATTTCAACAGCTCCACTTAAAAACTGGGTAAGTATTTCCACATCGTATTTCCAAATTCTCCATTTTCTGCCAGTTTAGAAGTGTAGTAATAAATTACAGTCTATGGAATGATATCAACCTTTAGGTTGGCTGTGCAAAACACACACACAAACAAAAAGCCAGGAATTGAGGACTAGAGGAGCCAGATCCATAAAGGCTTGGGGGAAGGGGAAGTGTTGTTATAATTTTTGACAACATAATTTAAAGGCTTTTATAGAAAGCAATCTACACCTCCGCCTCTCTCCACTTTACCTACCCTTCTAGTATTGTCTTGGCTGTCAATTATTGAAAGAGAAGCCTATTCTTTAAAAGGGTTTAAAATTATAAGAAATTATTTAGAATATCACCTAAAAGCACTTGAAAGGAATAAAAAGATGACTACGCCCTCACACACAAACTCAGTGATACACACAAAATGGAAAGCACTGCATTTTTATTTGTGTTCTTAGCCAAAAGGAGGAAGACACCAAAATATGACTGCACAGGATTAGAATATGGCTCATTATATTTCAGTTCCTGACCTGTGGAAAGGATCCAGGACTCTTTCTGTCGTGGGTGAAAACGGTCAAACATTCACCATGTCATAACAACTTATCAGGTTGTGAATGTAACCACTTGCATATCCAAACCTCTTGGCAAGTCGCAATGATAATTTTACTACTCCATGTGTTCCTGGATTTCCAGTAGGTTGGCAAGGATATGTGTGGTAAATTTTTATTAATCGCTGGGCAAGTTCTTGCAGGTGCCAGCTTACCAAGTCGTTGCAATTAACTTAACATCATTTGTTCACACTGCATTGCACTACCATGTATTCACCCAATACATTCTAAGAATGAGTGAATACACATGAACATTTATGAAGTCACAATGTTCATGTAACCATTTAGTAAACTGCCTGTTTGCAAGGTGCTTACAGTGTTGCACGTGTACAAATCTGCATCCAGCATCTTGGGGTATAGGAAAGTGGTAAAATTCTTGCTACTTGATAAAACATTACAGAGACCCTAGACAATGTTTTGCTCGATGCTCAAAACACATCCATAGATCTGTATTCAATGAGAAATCTGGAAGAACAGGAAAGTGGTAAAATTCTCCCTACTTGGCAAAACATTACGGAGAGTTGTAATGCTATTCAGAATAGACAACAAAGAGCTGGCGCCATTCAGAAGAGACAATAGTCAGCTAGGTGGTCAAAACAGTTTCCTCTGTACAGATTACTATCTCACCAACTGCTTACAGGCAGGCCACGGTAAATTAACACTTCGCAGCAAAGTTGAGGATATTTGAGACCAGCGTAGTTGTGCTGCTGTAACAGATATACAAAGAGTATGAAAGGATTGTTGAAAACTTTGTGGTGGTATGCTCTGAAATATTATCAGCTACATTAGGATTCTTTTAAGCTCTCAACCTGACTGTGGCACTGAGAGATACTGTATTGTAAGTTTTACATTGGTTTTTACGGGAAGAATAAATTACAGACCTGTAGGGAAATGATGAAAGGAAGAAGTCTTCCAAATATAGCTATGAACACTGGAACACTACCAACTGATGGTAACTGATCATATTTTTAGCAATGATAGTACTGGAAGTGAAAAAACATGCTTGGTAGATGTTCGTCAAAACTACCCGGCAACTGCTGGATCAAAGCTCAAAAGAAAACCTATTGGCTCATGCTAAGCACCTGGAATAGAAGCATATTTCTTAATGCCACTGTACTTCTGCACAAAAATATGTACACACACACACACCACACATAGCTGTTGTTGGCATCCATCTGTCTTGGGAGAGGATGGAGGAGTGTGCTTTCTGGAGTTAGGTTCAAGTTGCTGGTAGGTTGCCGTGTGTGAGTGTGTGTGTGTGTGTGAGTGATGAAGGTTGAGAACCCTACTTTGAAGGAAGAAACATATTTCTTCCTGATGTCACTAACCATGATCCCTAGCTAACAGGACCAGTGGTCAGGGTTTATGGGAATTGTAGTCCAAAACATCTGGAGGGCCAGAGGTTGGGGATGCCTGCCTTAGCTTATAAATAAATCATAAACATGGAGGCACCACCAAGAGTGCCTCCCCTGATGACTGCAGTGATTGGGCTAGAGTTTAAAGGCGGTCATTGAGCTACTTTGGCCCCAAGTTGTTTAAGTCTTTGTACAATAAAAGCAAAGCCTTAAATTTGGCCCAGTAGTATATTGGCACCATTAGAATAGTGGTGCCTAAATTGCTCTGGAAAGGAGTATGTTTACTGTCAAAGCACTTTGGAAATAAGTCACAGCTGGCTCCCTCAAATCCCTTTCTGAATACTGAGTTAGACCATTGGTCCATCTAGTTCGGTACTGCCTACAATGACTGACAGTGGCTTTCCAGGGTTTCAGACAGGGATCTCAGCCAGCCCTGGCGATTCAACCTAGTGTCTTCTACATGCAAAGCAGATGCTCTACCACTGAGCTTCAGCCAATCCCCTGGCTGGAAAACACCAAGCAGATGCAATAGCGATGATAAAGTCTGCTTTTATTGCCACCGCCATCACCACTGCAGAATAGGTTATGAGATGGGTTTGGCAGAAAGTTGGCTTTAGAGACGTTAAATACATACATACATAAATATAAATTGGTATCATTAGGATGATAAGAACTTACATGGAAAGATTCTGCCACATGACAAGGTAATGCATTCGATTACCTTTGGGTTCTTTCCTGCCTCAGAGCTCTATGATTCTACATCTAATAACAGTAAAAAGGATTGACATTCCTGTGTATACAGAAAGCGCTCCTGTTCATGATGAGAAGACCCATTTGCAGAAATGCAAGATACACCTGCAATTAAAATGATTTTTAAGCAGGTATGTAGGAGTAACAGCAAAAAGACTATAAATTGGAAAATGGAAGTAACTGGAAAATAAATATAAGACGTTAGCACCTAATTGTTTTCCTCTCATCACAATAGCAACCCATCTTTCTAAGTGTATGTCACTGGTGCAGTTAGCTATATTCCTGTTTGTCTATCATTTACCTGTCTTCCACCTGTCTGAAAGTGTCTACCTATTTGGAAAGCAAGTTAAGCTGTTGCTTATTTCTTCAAGGAAGAAAAAAGAAACCGAAGAGGAAAATGATGCGCAAAACTTGGTGTATCATGAGCAGCAATCAAGTGGGAGCTACTCCTTAGTGTGTGCATGAATCCTGTAAATGAAGTGGCCCTTGAATTAAATTAATTTAAAATCAGGCAAATATTACTTGGCATGTTTGTCAATGTGATGTATAATTATTAATTTGTTCACTGAAGCAACTGTATAAATAAATAGAAAGTAAAATGCCATGATTAAACTAACATTAAAAAAAAATCCAGGGTCAAGGAGCTCCACAATACACAGATCTAAATAGCTTTCCTGGGTCCTATTTTTACATCTCCATACAGATCTGCAGGTCTGTAACTGTGAACTAATTGGCACACATTTAGATGCCAACAGGGCTTTTGTATTCTCAGTGCACATTTTGTCTTCTCAGAGTGAGATGTTAGTAATGGAGGTTTTAATATTACCCCTAGGGGAGCACCAGAAAATCTTAACAATTTCCTTCACTAGAGTATTTTCATTAGAGCTAAATGCTGTGCAATTTACATTTGAAATCAGGTGTAGGGGTAAGTATAATGTGACAAGACATGTTGCCGTGTTAGGTCTCTTTTGTGCAAATGTTCTTTATTTACTGCTACATACCTGCAGAAGAAAAGCATAGAACTATGATTATTTTTAATTATGCCTTTTAAGTGCTTCTAATTGGGCCAATATGAAAATAATAGAAATCTGTGACAGTGTTTGTTTGAAGAATATGTGAACATGAACTCAGTATTAATAAATCAAGCATGTAAGCTTTATTGTAAACAACAATTCAACAGCTACATCACGACCTGATTACTGCAATGTGTTCTGCATGGGGCTGCCTTTGGAAAGCAGCCTGAAACGTCAATTGGTCCAAAGTGTGATGCACAGGTTATTAATTGGAGTTGCTTATTAGGAGCATATAACTTGGTTGTCAAAACCACTCTTCTGGTTTCCAGAGTGTTTCTGGGCTCAATTCAAAGTGCTGGGAATGACTTTTAAGGCTATGTATATTTTGAAACCAGAATACCTACAATATGATCTTCTTGTGCATGATCCCAGCCACTCATGGAGTGTTCACATGTCCATTGACTGCTGCAGAATGCACGGCTGAGCTGGACCAGGTAGAGGACCTTCTTGGTAGCTACACCTAGGCTTTGGAAGTCACCACCCACCATCATCCCAAGTAAACCCCACTGTGCCCATCTTTCATATAGCTAGGGTTGCCATATTTCAAAAAGTAATTTTTCAATTGACTTGCCTAAGATCCAAGACAATTCCACCGTTGAAATCCTGGTAATGTCTGGGGAAATAGTTTCTTTCTTCCTAACAACAATCTCTTAAACTTATGGCAGCCCTACATATGGCAAAACCCTTCATTTTGGGAGATCTTATGAACTACATTTCCGTGCGCTGCTCTGGTTCGCCAGAAACAGCTTAGTCATGCTGGCCACATGACCCGGAAGCTGTCTGCGGACAAATGCCTGCTCCCTCAGCCAGTAAAGCGAGATGAGCGCCACAACCCCAGAGTCGTCCATGACTGGACCTAATGGTCAGGGGTCCCTTTACCTTTACCTTTACCTTTTTATGGACTATAAGATACATCAACATTACTTAGCATTTTTTTTCATTTGGACATGTTAAATGATGTTTTCATTCCTCATGTTGTTTGTGTGGAAAGTTTAAGAGATTGTTGTTAGGAAGAAAGAAACCATTTTTATGTGAAGTAGAATTCAGGTGCCTCCATCTTTGAGGTAAAGAAGCAAGATCTTTCAACAGGCCACATCTGTGTGCAAATCAAAGTCCTCTGATGTTTCACATAGCACTGGGTACTTTTATAAAATTCCAGCAACAATAAAGGCTATTTGTAGCAAGCCTTGGTGAATAAGGCAGTAGGCTACATGCTTAAGGAACAAAGATTTGAGGTTATGGCATATCCCAGTAACTGGAAAAGTCAAGATTAGACAGATTAACTACCTAACAATATATAGCTACAGCAGTCTAAAGAATAGCAAAGCTTTGTCAAAGCATGTCCGGAGTGTATACTTCAGTTATATAATTCACCTAAAGCCATATTATTCATTGCCAAAGGAATATGCAGAGCTACATCTTTTATGTACCTTATATCAAGCATGCACATGTGAAATGTTCAGTTTCAGGCAAGCTGAATTTATATTCCATTGCTTTTAATAAAATGAAAGGCAATGTAGAGATTGGTAACTTTCAGTCCTGACAACACATTCATATAGCATATTGATCCATGCCCTCAGAGACTATTTAGATCAGAAAGCATCTAAAGAAGGATATTCATATTTGTAACTATAGAATTCTCTTTTCAGTGCAAATAAATCTGATGAGCTTGTCACTCTTCCAAGTATTGTTTTAGAAATATAGCCCACAACTGATAGTTGCAGAGGCCCAACACTGAAGGTATGAAACTGTATGGGACAGGTGAGTTATGAGTCAACTCAAACAAAGAGAGGTTGCTATCCCCACCCAACAGAGGGGGAAGAAAAGAATGAAGATGAATTCTCTTCCATGTTGATTCCCCCCCCCCTTTCTGGGCTTCCCTGCACTGGCAGAAACCATTGGCCTATAACTGACTCTCCACTTCCATCTTGAAAATGGAGGTGACAGTAAGAGACAGCAGATGTTGGGTTGCATGAAAAGGGGAAAGGGCCGAAAGGCAGAGACCAAGAGAAGCCCACTAATTCTGTTCTGTTACATAGTTTGTAAGCTTTCTTCATTCAGTACTAATGCAGTCTCAGGAGTTGCTTATGTTGTTATAGCTCTAATCCCCTATTTGTGTCCTGCTGCCTATAGCAAATTGTTACATTAATGGGTCACACTGCCTTTCCAGCATTTGACCCTCTTGCCGCTGCCATGATGCTGATGCCTTAAAAAAAAAAACGCATTACCCTCTACAAACTCCTTTTTAAGGAGGGAGTTATAGTAGCCAAGAAAGATGTCCATAGGCCTAAGCACCCAGAACTGGCAGACAAAAATGTGCCCAACCTCCACAACATGAAACAATGCAGACGCTGAAATCTTGTGGTTATGTGAAGGAGCAGTTTGCATGGAGGCATTTCTACTGGTTTTTGATCGAGGTATAGCAAAGTCTGGAGTGACAGCTTAACAATAGCTATACAGTGGTACCTCGGGTTAAGAACTTAATTCGTTCTGGAGGTCTGTTCTTAACCTAAAACTGTGCTTAACCTGAAGCACCACTTTAGCTAATGGGGCCTCCTGCTGCTGCCACGCTGCCGGAGCACGATTTCTGTTCTCATCCTGAAGCAAAGTTCTTAACCCGAGGTACTATTTCTGGGTTAGCGGAGTCTGTAACCTGAAGCGTATGTAACCCGAGGTACCACTGTATGCGGCTATTGTTGGGTCAGCTACTGAATTTCAGTCTAGAGGTGGATTTGTGCGTGGGCGTGGTCAACTACCCCAGTAGAAATCTGTTGCTGTTTGATTGCATCTTGTGTATAATAAATAGGTGAAAAATGACCCCAAAAATTTAATGGGTCACACTCACAAAGACACATGTTGATTGATTAAAGTGGTTTGATTCTGGTGCTGCTTAGCTAATCTAGGTCCAAAATCCCTAAGTATACAAGGTAGAAAGCCCTGTTTTATTTTGGAAATTCTGCCACAAACTGTCTTGTTTTGTTATTTTAAATGTTTCTGATGAGGGGCAGTGGCAGCAACTTTTAAAGGCAGCCCAGCACTCACATGTTGCCTTACAGCAGCTGCTTCATCCCATCACACTCCTTTCATGTATATCATTCAGAAGTTGCAGGCGAAGGGATGCCAGCATATAGCTATTGTTAAGCTGTCACTCCAGACTTTGCTATACCATCGATCTGACATGAGAAGGTTATTATTCTATTGATCTAATGTCAAACCAGTGTTAAGGCAACAACTTTGATTGAAAAGCTGTTGCTCAAACATGCCCTTTTAAGAGACAGAAAGAATTTAATGTGAATTTACATAATTTGGGTATAATTTCCTTGCCTTCCAATTTTGAAGAAAACCTCCAAACTATAGGTGCACATCACATGCTTCTCACAACTGCCACTCAAGCAAGAAGGTTCTCATGACCAGTTTCTAAGAGCCATTCCACCAAACAAACTGTTGTCAGCCATGTTCTGTGGAAATGTGTGTAAAATGGATTATTTTGGGAGAATATGAAGTGCCACCTGATAACCTTTTTATTGAACAACTTGTTTTAAATTCATTATTAGTGTGTGGTTTTCTTTTCAAGGCTGATTTCCAGTTTGGGTTCAAGGAAACTGATAGACTGAGTTTGAGGATAAGCTCCAGGTTTCACTGGGGGTGCGGAAATTTGGAAGTCTAATTGAATTTTCTTATTT